TGTATAAGTTATTTGCGTTAAAAAAAATGCTAATTATTGAGTTGGGATTTAAGATTATGACTACTAATTTCCTCTCAGTTTATTTCTGTGGCCTCCTTTTTAAAAGGATTCTAAGCAAAACATGATTACTTATCACATCAGAACAAAGGGAGGTTATTCTTGGGATCAACTAAGATGATAAAGTATAAGGTAGAATTCCAAGGAGGAAAAGAAAGAGAAATGCTAATAAGAGAAGTTGGGTTGAGTGAAATTCCTTTGAGCAGGAATCCAAGTAAGCCAGCATAATGCAGTCACAATGGGAACCTGGTAAGTACAAAGAGATAGGGAAAAAGGAAGTTTGCTCCGAACTATCTGCTTCCCTGCATATTTTAAATGTATGGATGTACTGCAAAAAAAAAGGGCTGACCTCTTTCTCTCTTGTCTTCATATTCTTCTGGAGGAGGTAGGTGTCATTATCTCAGCGTCTTTGTGAAAATCTGCACTCAAGAGATGCCTTTGTAAATGGAAACATAGAGGGATTGCAACAAACAACTGGTTACACTCCAGAACAAGAGGGTTAGAAAACATCTTAATTCTTTGGGTACATCAAACCAAGATGCACTTTTACCAGAATGATGGGAAGAGAAAAATCTGGAGAAGACATCTGGAGCAATGTCATGCCATTGTGGTGTATGGCTGCCAGTGGAACTAGTGGTCACTAGTGTTTAGTGATGATTTGACTGCTAATAGAAGCAAAACTGGTGGGACAGAGCTTCACAGTGCAAAAGGATAATGACCCAAAGACAAAACCAACCCAAGAGTTTCCTATTTTGATGCCTAGGCTGTCACTGATTGCAAAGGATATTTGTGATGTTATGATTATGATATTTATGTTAGTTTGTCCAAACACAAGCTCTAAAAAGAAGAACTGTGTATGAAAATAGGTGTTTAGCTTCCTAAACAGTTAATACAATACTTTTGTTAAGTCTTTTGAATTAAAAGCCTTTGAATTACATTTAGATTTTTCTTTTAAATCCACTGTTCATATATTGATGCAAAATCACCCTTAAACATGACACATGACCTTATGCACACTAAACTCAAATACGTTGACATCCCAGAAGTTATCCTATCTTGGTGTCATCTGATGAATATCGTCTCATAACATGCTACTGTCTCACTCTGCAGATGATATCAGTGTCAACTTCTTTTTCCAGTTCATGTCACAGAGGTCTAAGAATGGGTCTTGGTATGCCTGTCTGAAATATCCTTCTGTCCTAGATAACCTTGTGATTCTTTTGGAACTCCCCACCCCCTCTGATTCTCTTTCTTCCTCCACTAACAAAACCAATTTGAAAAATGTGCCATCTCCATCTAATGAAAATATATATGTTGGGTTGTCACCGCACAGTAACATTTAATATAGCATAAGTTTTCAAAAATGAGCTCAGCATTCATACAAGTCTCTGTGATCCAAAAGCTCCGGCTTCAGATTGCACTGAAAATTCAATTTCAGAGAGACAAAGAGAGGAGATATGCAGATACTGCTATTGCTACAAATCTTGCTGAGAGTGGCAGCCAATCCAAAGAAAGTGGCCGTCATTTGGAAAAGCGGCCAAAGATGGGGAAGCTAAAACAGCTTGTTTCAAGCAGTGGATGGATTGGAGGGTCACATCAGTGCCTACCACAAAACAAATAAGGATTACATTGAATTATGAATCATGCAAAGCTACTACAGTGTCTGGAAGGGAACCTAATAAGCCCCCTTTGAGATTTTTATGTGCTACTTGTATCCAAATCAAATCCAGGCCTCTTTTGAGGATACTTCACTGTGCAAAAATCTGATGTGAGGAAATGAAATGTTTTAGGTTAGAATGTCAATGAATGACATCAACGACTGAAAGGAACCAAAAAAATAATAATTTTTATTAAAAGAATTAAGAAATAAATATGCAAATACAAGTACTCTTGTATTCCTTGACAGAGGCACACAATTTTTTTTAAATGTAACATCCCCGACACGCGCGCACACACATAAGCTTTAAGAGTGTTTGCGAAAGAGAAAGCTGAAGAGAACAGCCATCATCTTTGTCCTCCATGTGCACTGTTATTTTACAGTGCCTCAGCAGTGCTTCCATCCATCTCGCTCTCACATCGAAATGCAGAAAGAAAAGTAAAGTACACAGAGTTGTGAGACAAATTTGATAGATTGACGGGAAAAGTGGCAGCGAATCTGACAATAGGAGAAAAAGGGAAAAGATGTGTAATAGACAGACAGAATAATCCACTTGGTTATTCACCGTAATAATCATCTTTCAGCTTAATTATCAAAGCAAGCAGATGTCCCCCCTTGAACTATAAAACTGCATCCCGTAGACCTAGAAGGTTTCTGCAAATTTATAGATGTAAAGGACCACTCCTTG